CTTCCGATGTAATTGACAACACCGAAGAAGAAGACTGATGCCGACTCCATTTTTTCGCCGGGCAGAAATCCTATTCGAACAGGTTTTGGAAAAAGACTGCGGTAGCGTGGGAGGAAGTTGACAGAGGAGCCAGGACTGGCAGCTCGCGGCTAGGAATGAAGAACGAGGCGAGCAGAAGAATGTGAGGCTTCGACAACCATCGGAAGGAATGCGAGGGAGGGGTTTCGTAAGTGAACGGGATCTCCGGAAGCTCGGTGAGCTCCACGCGGCGAAAAGTCGTGGCCCGGAGCTAAACGTTCCTGCCGATGACCGGCTGCTATCGTGGTGGTTCTATTGCATTTACAACAGGCAGCATTCGCTTTCAAAGGTATAAATTCTCTCCGAGAATCCCTCGTTTCCACTACATTGAGTCGGATCAACGACGCCGGCGTGCAAGTCTCAAAGTTTGAACGCTTGGAATTCAGGAAGTTGCGCGCGCTCCAAAAGGCTCTCAGGAACCGAGAACCTACAACTTCCTTTGTGCTGTGCTCGTCGTGTTACCGCAGATACTTGCATTTACGACGCTTTAGACTGAGGGTGGAGTGAGCGCGGGGTCACTAGGTGGGATGTGCGCCGCGACGCGAATTGCGCCGCGTCGCCATATCTGCGACGACGTTAAGCACCACGGACGGGGACTTACTCGAGAGGCGGGGCAACGATGAGCGGAATTTACCCCGAAATTCTCCGTAGCAAGACTTCGTCAAGTGCAGTACATCCTCCAGCGGGTAGCAGGGGCGGCGCGTAGAATTCACTTTTCCTTCAGGAGATTTAATATTCCTCGGGAGCGGATCCGCGCGAGCGAGAGCTTCAAAAGTGACCGCTTCTTCAGCGAAACAGGGGATAAGAGTGAATTTCTTTTGAAAAAAGTCGCAGGCTGACCAAAAAATGATTTTTTTTTCAAACGACGAACATGCAACGCGATTACGAATCCTCGCGATCCGGTCTGCATGCGATCTCTGTTCGGGATAAGTATCCATTGATAAGTGCGGCGTTTGCGCCGCTCTGTTGGCGGGAAGAATATATCGCGCTCCGCCTTTGCAACAGCTACAAAAATTGTCGAATGCAAATTTTCCGGGACGCCCCTCGCTCCGGTCGGCGCAACTACGGGAACATCTAATCACGTTCCCCCGGAAAAGTGCAGAACAATCAATCTGCAGAAGTTGTTGCGATTCGGATGGGTTTTTTTCTGCTGAATAAGTGCCGTTGAATGAGTAAGCGGTTTGAGCGAGGTCCGAAGGTAAAAATCTCCCACAAGTTTTTGTGCTCCGCTTCGAGCAAGAGGGTAGTCTCCACAGAGCTAATAAATATAAATTACTCACCCCCGAGAATCCCGTGAAACTTGAACTATTAGTCAGACAGTTTACTGGAGTGTCCCGATAACCTATTTTTCCGCAGAGGGATATCCAATAAATGAGCAGGATACGGCATCAGGAAGTCAGTTCCATGATATCAGGTATTCGCCTCCGCGAGGATGAAATCTTCTGACGGAATCATCGTTTTGCATCGCATCAAAGCGGATTAATCGATTGAAATCCGAGGAGTAGGAGGAGAATGATCCCTTTGGAGACCGTCCCGAGTTCCGCGGATCGACTGCGGGTCTCGCGAGGGCTGACGGCGAGCTTCCAACAGGGTCACCTGTGTGTGTTGCTGGTTGCTGCTCGCGAGAATTGTGAAGAAAGCAACGTGCGCTCAGCTTATCGGACGCGTTCACCTGTCTGTTTCAACTGGAAACAAAAGTTCCTCTGGGATCTGACGATTCGCTTTCGAGTTTGCGTTCTGTCGTCGGAAAAGCCAGCGAGCCATCATGGAAATACATCGGCCGAAACACCCAACGAGGCCTGTCGTCGAGCACGGGGTGAGGGGAAAGCAAGCGGGGGCCTTCGGCGTCTGACCGGCGGCTCGAGTTCAATTTTCTCCAGGGGAATGGTCGAGGTGAAGCCGAACGCTTGCCTGAAGTACCTAATCCCAGAATTAGTATCAGGGGCATTATGCATTTCCACGGCGGCCTTTATCTCGCACTCAAGCCCCGTTTGCCTCCGAGTCGCGCCAGTTCCCCATTCCTACGGCAGCGGCGGGATGCCGTACAAATCCGGTCTCCCGGATTCTCTGTGCGATCCGAGGGGAAAACTGTGCCATGAGCAGTAACTCTCCTTCCGACGATACGGGATGGTGGTCTTCGATTCCGAGCGAGCGCAGAATGGAATATCTTGTCCGACGTGCTCTCGACGGGAAGGTGCGACGATATTGTGCTGCGGATAAGGAGCCGATGCGTACAAGCGACCAAGGGACGCTCTCAAGGGGCCCCGTGAACATTTGACAAACAGTCCTCCCGTGGAGCTTCCTCCTATCAGTCTGTGAGTGTGATTCGAAAGCTAGGCTCGGGCCATGGCACGAACTTACCCTGTACTGGAAAACAGGCCCTGCGGATCAGTAGAATCCCGACAGATGGTTCGAGGCAGTCAGGTCTCCCTACTCATTGATCTTCGGTTGGGAGGGCAGTCCTGACGTATCAGCTCCATTTACGGGGAGATCTCCGAGGACGATCTGGGACTGAATGCAATCTCGAGCCCAGATCGCTAGTGAGGCGCTTCCCTCAAAAAACTCATCATCCAGTCCGGGGAAAAGAGTTCTTGTTTTTCTCGGCAAGAAAAAACGTGGCTAGCTCTGTGCGATTCCTTGGAGCCCTCTCATCCAGGCTTCGAATTAGCCGCAGGACGGAGGAGCTGCCGGTAATTGGCTATCTGGGGCACAGGTCTTTAGAACTTCCGCAGAGTCCTCTGCGTCAATGAAACACTCGCGTCTGTGTTCTACCGATTACGTTGGCTGTATTCCAAACTTGCGTTGATTTATGCAGAGCCAACGGGCGGTTTTACAGCCGTCATGTTTCGTTCTTGGACTCTTGGCTTCGTCCGCGCATGTCCACACGTAGCCGCAAATTCTACTCGATAGTCGAATTATTAGCTCTTCAAATAAGTAGGATAGGGTGGAGGGAAACTAAAGGCAAGATTCGCATGAATAGCCATCGAATGCAATTCGATGGCTCAGCCGTTGCCGACATTGGAAATAGTTTTCGTGCTTCCGATCTACATGTATGATGCTTGCTTGATCTCGATTCGTTTAGATTTTCCTAAATGGTTTTCCTGTTCTGAGGACATTCAGTCAGGCTGCCCCGTCCACAGCGGAGAGCCTTCTCCCGAAAATCCGCTACAATGTCCGAACAATATAGGCCTAGGGTTTAGAAGGCGACAAGCACTATATGCAAACCGGGTATCGAATTCTCTGGGACAATCCGAGCAATGGAAGGCTGTTGCGGGTCGGAGTGCAATCGGGTCCTTCGGCAAATTGATGAGCGTGCGAATGAGCGCGGCGGACTCGATTTGCGGCTCTCATCGGTCATATCGCGGAATTTCTATGGGGCCTCATCCATAATACACGTATGAGAGTCTACGGGTGTCATCTATTCATTAGGAGATTGTTTCAGGTCCTTCTGGGTGGGCCCAATCAGCCGCAACACGAGCAAGCCGAAATAATTTCGAGCTGATTCCACATCTCTATTAATGTCCGTGATAGGCGGGTGAGGCGTCGGATTCCCTCCACCATCGCAATGTCGTGTCATCTGGACTGATTTATGAATGAGTCTATCCGCGTCTGAGCAGTTTCAGTTGGGCGTGTTCGGCTCGAGATGATCCGATATCGAATTGGTGCGCTCCGATTCGACACATCTCTTCAGGGGGCATGTTCCGATTCTTGACTCTAATATGGTCGGGACATATTACCATGCTGATAACGTGCTCAGTCTTTCTCTGATTGATATCTTGACTGGGCGCATTCGGAGGCATACTGCGTGTCGGTGCCCCGAGTCAAGTCGAGCTTCCGCTCTGTCCCGGCTTCCGAATCACTTGTCCTATGAGTATGAAGCAAAAAAACTCGTTCGAGACATTGGGAAAATATCAACAAACATACAATTTATTCGATTGAAAAATCCACGCAATCCGGCGTGCGGTACTTTACAGAGAATCACGTAAGAACTCGCCCGAAAGACTTGGGACGCGCCGCTTTCGGAGTCCTCTTCTTTGAGGTTCATTTGGCCTGGGGCTCCCGCTCGCTTTGGATTCTCCTTCGTACTTCTCGCGGAAGAGACGACAAAGGCTTCGATAGCGGTTCCAAAACAGTCTTATATGTATTTACAATCGCGCCGTTCAACACTCCTGAGATTCCGAAACCAGGTAGCGGTTCCGCGTTCTCCCTTAAACTCATTCTTCAGCCTCCCGCTCCCCAAGATTTTCGATTCCATGAGATTTCCATGAGGATTCCCGTCGCTGAATCGGATCCGCATCGCTGGATCTATTTCTGCGGTCGAATCGCTGAAGCAGCCGCCGAGGAAGTTTCTGATGAAAGCCGTCGGGAAGATGCCCGGGAGTCGTCCCGATTGTTTGAGAGAATCCCGGAGGTGACATTGAGGATTCCGAAGTCGATTCCGGTGATCGAGCAAACAGGAGGCGCCGCACCTTCGATTTCCAGGCAACACGACAAACTTGGGGAATGGCATGACACATTCAATTAGAAAGGAGTGCGCTTCCTGGACCTGTCGAACAGGCGGCCGGCGGTCTCCGCTCGAGAAGGGAGAGGAGAAATCGACGCTTTTTCGAAGGACACCGTAAATGCTCCGGTTAGACTTTCTGGTCGATGGATTCTTGAACGATACTGATTATCCGGTTCTTGTCATTTTTGCGGCAGATGCGGAATAAGGCACAACCGCGCAAACCCCCCGTCTGTTGAGAGAGCACCACTTTGCCCGGAGGTTTCTCGTCGCCTAGATCGAGCTGGATGCTTTCGGTAAATTCGGTGCAAACAGGACCTTGACATTCTTTGAGCTCTTGCTCCTTGAGATCCTGTTGCCGGCGATGTCGCTGACCCGAAGATTCCAGCTCATTCTTCTGCCTCCGGGCACGGAGCCGCTGCTAACTGAGTGCGACGCTCACGAGTAGCACGAGCGATACGATGAGCGACGTGATCGCCGTCACAGAAACTCCTACACCTGCAAGGAAGTCGTCTATTCCGATATCGTGGTTCGATCAGATTCAGCGCTTCGTGCGCATCTAATAACTTGAGCACTGAGCGTCTAGAGCAGCGTTCTCCGAGAGGGGACGGAAACTGCACTGCTGGCTCACGACTGAGTTCCTGATGTCCGGATAGAGGGTCGGGGAATCTCTCGGGGAATACTGATGCTTCGACTGCCAATTGGAATATCCAGGGTGAAAATTACCTATGGAAAGTCGGAAATACTTTGCGATTGGAAGAGACGAATCAGGAATCTCTCGATTCTCCCGCCATATAGGCGAAGGAGGAGTCGAACCGAAGGCCATGATCGATGCTCGATCATTGCTCCGACAGGAGGTAGAATTCCTTCAGCCGTCACGGCGATGCCTCTTCTCAGGAGCAGGAAACTGCTCAGGAAAAAATGACGCCGTTCCGCCGCAAAACTTCTCCCTTTGTATTCGTTCTATTGGTTCACGGTGAGGTGTCGTTGTCCTTGTCGCTACCGCAGACGTCGCCGACGACGACAAAACGTTTTCGCGGCCGAACCTTTTGCCGCAGCTTCGCCCTCTTTTCTCCTCCATCCCGCTATTTCCGTTTGTTTCTACGAGAGCGCATGTATGTATGAACGAACGTACGTACCCGAAGTGAGGAGCTTAGACGGCGGAGATATGGCCTGTACGATCACTCTGGAAGGCTCCGAACGACCTTTCTCGTTCACCGCGAACACGAGGGCGATACACTCGGTGGCATCGGGTATGTCCCCAACCTGAATAAAAATCCTCAGGGCTAAAAATGTTGCTCGGCATCGCCAGCTGAACGAAAAAAAATACTGTAGCAAAAGCGCCGAATGACAGAGAGCCGGCATAGTTGACTCGACTTCTGCTCTCGGGTGGTTTAGAAGTGCGGCGCGTTTTAGATTGAGTATCCGTTCTTCGACGCGAGGCGTGATGAGGAGGAGAGCGACAGCTTTTTCCCCCGTTCTCCTTTCGACAACGTGCTCGTGTCGAAACTACGCTAGTGTCCTCGAGCTGTCGAAGGTCGCGTTCTCTCTCTGAGAGGAACTTTCTGTGTCCAAAAAAAATTCTACGTTCAGCCTGTCAAACACAAGATCCATTTATACAACCTACCTGGAAAACGGGCTCATCTGAGGTGATGTTGACAAACAGCTCCTGTGTGTCTGCGTTGAACACCTCTAAGAGATAGAACTCTTTGCTTCTGTCGACATCCTCACGACTGGAGTCGCACTCGAGAAAAAACCAGCTTTGTGCCTGGTTAACCACTTGACATCCTTCCAGTGGCGTCGGAACACCTTCAAGAGAGATGACGGCATACGGATAAGACTGCTGTTCTGTGAATCTTCTGAGCTCTCGTTTTCCCCGATGGCCGCTGTTTGCAGCAGAAGCTGAATCTGGCTCGCTCGGTCAGTGTCTCTACCCCCGCCCCTTCTCTGGGCGCCCGCCCCCGTTCCACTTGAGGCAGCGCTGTTTTCGTTCCCGTACTGCCTCCCCATCCGCTCGCATGCATCTTCGTCGGAGGGACATCAAGGGAGCGTAACTCCGCGCTCAGCTTTCACTCACCGTAGGGCTCGATATGGAACACACAAGGCTGTTTTTCTTGGCTCGAGCTATTCACAGTGTTGTTCGCCCAGCACTCTATGGTGATCTCCTCGTTGAGGAAGGCAGGCGTGTAGCTTAACACGCTCGTGCTTCCGTTGATGATCTGCTGTTCTGAGGGATGGAGCAGCCTCCAGTCTCTCGAGCCGGTGGCATTGTACGCAATCCAAGTGAAACTCAAGTTGTCCGCTGGATCGGCGTCCATCTGACAGCGAACCGCTAATGGCACTTTCGTCGTCCCGTAACGGTAGTTCTTGACCACCGTCGAATGACACTTCGGTGGATCTGCGAACACGCAGGGAAAACTTTAGGACGATCATTTTTTTCTCTAAAGGCGAGATATCCACCGATAGCATCGAGCTGCTAGGGGACGCGATGGCTTTGTCGGCGGATGATGACGACGCCGACGGTCGCCTTCTTCGTCGTCGTCTTCGTATTCAGATAAGAGCCAGGAATAGTCGAATGGAGCACGAAAGATGAATGAATACACGACTGTAAGAACGAACGGGGGGACGGATGAATGCGCCACCGCCCGCCTAGAGTCAGCACTCACATTTCACCCGGAGGTCGAGGTCGTTGCTTCGTACAGAGCCCAGCGAATTCGTCACATCGCAATTGTAGCGCCCATTGTGCTTCGAAACCGAAACGTTACGCAGCAGCATCTGCTTCCCGACGATCTCAAAATCCTCCGACGACACCTCGTCTAGCTCCGTGGGGTTCAGGACCCGGTCATTAAGCGTCCAGAACACCCGCGACGCCGGAGGATTCGACGAAACAGAACAATCCAAGGCTACGTCTTGACCTTGTGAGATGTGTTCTACACTCTGGCCGTGTCGTAAATGCAAAGAAACCACTGGTGGGTCTGGAATGAGAGTCGCTTAGCCTCAGACAGGACGATGATCCCCGTCGGACTCTCTCGGGCGCCCGTCGGCTTAAGGCTTCGCTTCCTTTAAAAATAGTACACGTCGGCATGAGGGAGTGGGGAGCGGGAAAGAGCGAGCGTCGACTTACGAAGAATGTTGAGCTGTATGGAGTCCTCCCAGGTACTTCCTGGTAACTGATAGTTCGTTACTTTACAGGTAAGTTTCTGTTGATCCTCGACAGGGCTCATGGTAAGCAAAAGTGTCGAAACTGTAGTGTTGCCTGAAAAAGGAGTTCTGATGAGGTCCGTGACCTCGTTCCGACGAAGCCAATGCAGCTGGACATCTATCGGAGCGGGACATCGTGACATGAGCAAGCTGCTCACTTCAGCCACTTTGATCGAACGCCATTGCGTGAATGTAACAATAAGAGACTCGTTTTCTTCCATACAGCCTGATGTGTTCGACTAAAGCAGCAGCAACAATGAGGCCGGTAGAGATTGATGGCCTTTTCAGACATCTGAGACTTGTTTCGCTGCGAATTCCCCCGGGTGTCTGTAATTCCCGTATCGGAAGTCTTGGAAGGTGTCAGGGTCGATTCCACCGATAGCGAATCGCGGAATCAACAGGCCCCTATTCTGACATGAGTTCGTAACTGGAATACTTTGTATAGACATGCGTCGTCGTGGAATTTCAAAAGAGCGAGTTCGATGCTGAAAGACTCCAATTCATCCAAGGGAGCTCTGACCACCTCAAGCAACGTGCTGTCAGGGTGCCGGACGCTTGTGAGCCTTTGACAAAAAAGCCGCAGTGAAGTCGACCGCAAAGAACACCCGGTAGCCTTTATTCGGGAAAACGCAAAAAGTTGTTGATGCTTTTCTTAGCCACGTGTCGCTCGAAAGAATGCGGCTAGAAAACTCGAGGGTTCCATGAGTGCGCTGCACGGATCGATTGTTATTCTCGATTCAGATCGACCGCCTCCTGTTCCCAATATGCCTGGGTTCGATCAGCTGCTTTCGACGTATTCACGTTCATTCGAACACTCACCATCGTCGTTATCGCTGATGTGGCTGAAGTACGCCTCGAGCTTGCGTGTTGCCAAAATCCAAGTGACCACGGGAAATGGCCGGGAGCCCGTAACACGGCATCTAAATTCTGCTTGAGCTCCTGCGTCATACGTGTTCCCTGCATGCTCCACTTCCACCGATAGCGGGGGAACTGGAAGGAATTTGTGTGTGTCATCATTGTACGAGGCAACATTCAGCGGCATAGTTTGCGTACTCTGTGTCGCAGCTCGCCCGCATCTTACGCGGAGACGTCGACGGCGGGGGCTACCTAGCGAACGAGCGAGCGAGCGAGCGATTTGCTGTCTCACAAACTTCTTTGATCCGAAATCTTTGCTTTGTCGTACCGTACGGAGGGGGTCCGCTAGGATCGAACAAGTTCCGAGACGGTCTTGTCGCTCAAAGGGTTACGTTTTATCGAATTACAGACGACCGGATTCGAGAAGAAATATGCATATCGGGATTCTCGCAAACAAGCGGGCTCGGCCCGAATGAATTCCCCAGATGCCTCCAGCAAGTCGTCGAACAAGCCGCTAAAAACAAAAACCTGCTTACGAATTAGATCAACCGTGACGCTGGTGAAGAGAGGATTCTCGAGTATGTTGTTGAAGGTTTCGCACGCGAAGGTGGCCTTGAGCTCGTCTCTCGTCAATCTGCCTACGTCGAGAACGGAATGGGCTCCCTCGGGCCGCGGTTGGAACATTATTTTGTACTTTGTCTCTTGGCCTGATATGAGCTGTCCATTGCGTTTCCACAGCAGCGAAGGAACCGGAAAGCCTGCAGAGGAAGAAGAGAAACTTGAGCCGTTGTAGACGTTCTGAGGCGCCACAAAAATCATTTTCATAATTGAACGTCTGTTAATTGAAGTCTCCTCCGCCCAATGGCGTCGAACCATCGTCTGATGGAGCGAGAGCTTCGCTGCCGAGCTATTGATTGATCCGGTCTCGTAAAGCGGACAGGGACCTAACGGAGGTAGAGCCTCTTTTCACCGCCATCGCGAGATGTCTGACTACTTTAATCATATTTTGCAATGAATGGTGAGCAGAGAGCTTCAGAAACTTGGAGCAGTTAAGTATTGATGATCGTAAGCGATGCGGTTAGTTCCCGCCTCTTCGACGGGCTGACAACCGATGCCAGTGCTAGACATAAGTCCGCCAGATAAGGATTTCCTCTTCATGTCAGGTGCCAACTGCTTCTCTGTCCAATGTTTGAGCGACTCCCCAGAGGGGCGGACGGATGAATATTACTCACCCTTCTCTACGATGCAATTCAGTCGCAGGTTATGGCCAGCATAATAGGGTCCGATATTCGGAGCGAGAATGCTTCCATCTCCATCCGTCAGAACGGGTTTGCTCGGTGACACTGCAATTAATATGCATAATGCGGTAAGTAGGGCGAGCAATCGAGCGGCGAAGCTCCCGTCGTGCCGACCGTCAATACCGCTTCTCAAAGACACTGAAGATCCTCGAGCTTAGCGGAGCTCGTCGAACCCGGCCTGGCGAACTTTGATCCCAACTCGGAAAAATGTCTATCTCGCATATTTGCTGGACTCACCTCCCACGATGAGGCTCATGTTGTGAACGCGGACTTCCCCCGAATGGAACTTCACAACGCAGGAATAGCTCCCGGCATCTGCCGGGAACAATCTCGAGAGTTTTAGGGTGGCTGGACTGCTAAGAGCTGGAATTCCGAAGATTTTGATCTTACATCGAGCTGAATTATCTAGCGCGAATCTTTTTCCACCGCGAGTCCTCAATGCTATTGGCGATCAGAGACATCGAGCGGCTCTCGGAAACGTGGTTTTGATCATTCTTGGTGGACTGACTGCAGGTGCCAATCAGGGTTCAAGATCCGAATCCTCAGAGATTTATGGCTCTGCTCTATTGCAAAGATGGAATTTTCCCCATGAGTCTCGAATTAAAGCGGGAGTTCTTGATTAAATGCGAGAGTCGCTGATTTCATCGATATCGTCGCTCGTTTCGATTATGTCTCTCGTATATGAGATCCTTTATTTGATAATCTGTCGGCGTGCATGCCTCCGTATGGATAGCACTGAGGTCGAGAACGTCAAGCCTACCCGAAAAATATGCCCTTCCAGCAAAATCAATACTGATGTCGTGATTGGCGTTCCAAATGCCTCTTGTATGAGAATCTTCAATAATGTAGAACGGCGCTGTACTATTGGCCCGGAACCATCGGATGATGATAGGCTCATCGTCGAGGTAGGAGTCGATGTCGCAGGGAAGTCCTGTCGAACCGCCCTGTTCAGCCTTCACCACTGAAAATATAATCACAAGTTACAGCTCGATGGCTACTCGATTGCCTGCGGTAAGTCTTCGATCTATCATTAGGACAACTGAATTTTAAAACAAAAAATGAGCACGGGACGAAAATCGGAGAATCGGATATTGAGAGATCTTACAGTTTTCTTCTATCCCAACATTTCGTCGCTCAGTCCTGCTTCAGGAAATTATCCAGAAGGAGTCATCGCGGGACGTGAGCCTTCAAATCGTCTGTCATCATGCGATAGCAATTCAGAGGTGATCAAATCGCGGTGTCGTCACAGATTAGGTGATCCGTTCCTATCACCGTCTTTCAGAATTCCATCTGCGACGCTTTAGTCCGCCTCCACCATCCGGTCGGCCGCAATTTGTCCGACACGTCGTGTCACGGCTAAGCTGCGGCAATGAATGTGGACTACCGGGTTGCTCCCCAGACAGATAGCCTGTCACAGCATATTTCGTTGCAGTCTTTGCCTTCTGGACGAATTTCGGTCACCGAAGAGCCGCAAATGCATGAATGCATGCGTGCACGCAGGCCACCGAGACTATCAAGTCCCTCGATGTTTCAGCTCCTCGTTTCCGAAAATTCCGAGCTAAAGCCCGTGAGAATGTCCGATTAGACATTATGGGACAAGGAGGGATTTATCCTGAGCACACTCTTCCCTGATAATTCTGAAACGGTTCAGCACACCCAAATCGATCAAATTTGGCGATTGTCGTAATCCGCAGTGGTTGGCATCTTGTGGTGGGAGTAGAGCTCTGCCATCAAAGTTCCTCCTCCGATCACACGGGAATGCATGAATACCCCTCGGAGATCTCGGGATCGTGGTCAAGCTGAGAGAGCTGCCCATCTTCAAACTCGGTGAACTGTCCTGTGATACAAAGTAGTCGCAACGAAATAGAGATTTCGTTCCAAAGACGATGTCTCCTGTGCGGAGTTTGTGCGAAGCTGAAAGTATGGGGCTCCGGCCTATACGCTTGACAAGCGCGTCGTCGGCATACTTCGGATGACTTTCGCTCCGCTTCCCCGTTCAGGACGAGAGCTATGGGAAATCAGGTGAGATTCAGAGGCCGGCGCGTTGTAAATGTTTGCTGTTCGCGCTAGCATCGACAGTTCGAAGAGAGCTTGAGCTCAATTTCTTATCGAGAGGGGATGGTCCGAGGAAACAAATTCGAGCGGACCAAGGGGGATCTGGTGACTATGACGCCTTCCAGGGGCATGAGCCTCTCAGATCTCAAAGGGGAGACGTCTCCTCGCGTTGCACCTCTCAGTTCGATAGTGTACTAGATGTCGGTGCGGAGGTGAGTCGGGACGTCAAGCATGAAATCCATCATCTGGGTCCTAGGGAAAGGGCGCCGAGAGGAAACATTAAGCGATATAAGAAGCTTCCAAAACCGTCGACGGATCGTCGCTCTCGTCTCCGACGCAGACTCACGGCACGACTGCTGCTCGGTGAGTTCCTTATGGATTCCCTCCAGGTCTCGACTTAATCTGCATCTTGCCCTGAGGCACCACGGCTGATTGCCGGATCCTTACTCGAGGGTTCGGTCCCAGTGCGCACGACAGTCGTCGGTCTGGCTGTGGTTATTCACACTGGGTACGTAAGTTCCCAAATACGGGTTGCGTTCGAGTCTTTTGTTCCTTCACGACACTGCGTCACGTCGTTTTTGCGCAGTTCTCATACCTACATCGGGGATTCCTGGGCCCCTCGAGCGAGTTTGATGTCTCCATGGGTTCGATTGGATATCTCTTGCTCATACTCATGCTTTCGTAGGTCCATATAACTCGTAACAATTTACCTATATAGAATGTATCCTTTTTGTCAGGGGCGATTTTTCAGCGAATCACTCCGGTCTCCTCCTCCCATAGCCGTGGCTGCTGCCTCGATCCGTTTTATCTGTCCACGGTCTAGGTCTTCCGGGAGCTCGCTCCCGCTAGGCCTACAGTTCAACGCGCCGCTGAAAACCGACTGGAGAGTACGCTCTCAGGAACGCACCTTGTCCCGGTTCGAATAAAGACGGAGGTTCAGTGTGTTGATATCGGCAAGACCGACTCAAACTTGAAAGGCTTTGTTCTCGCTTTGTCGGCGTTTCCGGTTCCACTTAGCTCCACATGTTCGCCGATCAGGGAATTACCCAGCCCGAGCGAGTACGATCGAGGGGCTTCAACGGGACCGTGTCATAATAGTAAACCAGAGGACTCATTAGTCAAAACATGACAAATCACAAATTGGCCACGGCGAAGTCGCCCTCAGACACTAGGTCTAGTCGATGGTAATAATAACGAATATGACGCCGCGGCTACCACGGGTATGACGTTCAATGCTGGCTGTCCAAGAATCGCGTACCACGTCGAACGATATCTCGATGTCGAGAACTCCGTCTTGACGGAATGAAGATTATTGCATAAGGAAAACAGAATCACCTTCCCTTTTCTCTACCGAGCTTTCAGCATAATATGTATAATTTAGCCGTGGGTGCTCCTCGTGAGAGTTCCGAGCGGAACAGGTGCATCTGTGACAGCAGTCCAATACAGGACTCGGAGCTGGATCTGCAATATCTCAGCCGTGACACGGGAGGCTCGCCTAACGGAAGGCGCCGGTATTTATGGATGGAGGCGTCCGTGCACGCGAGCTGCTTGACGCGGGACTTGGTGCTGGTGTCTGAGCTTGGGAGTGATGATTCCTTTGGACCCTCCTCCTCCTCCTCCTCGTCGTCGTCGTCGACTCGAGCGGAGAATGGAATTCACAAACTCTGGGACTTTTCCTGCTCCTGGGTGAGGATTATTCAGGTGAGAAAGTCCACTCCCCACGGATTCGGAAGAAATGTTCAACGAACGGTCAGCCAAGCGCGCCGATTCGCCTGCCAGTCCCTTAGTCAGTTAGAGTCTTCCTAACGAGGGGCATTCACTTGAATCGAACTATTCCGATCTCGCTCTTCCATCCTCCTTTCCTTGAATAGGACTGACTGAATCAAGGTCGAGCTACCTACGACTCCAATCAAAGAAGTTGAGAAATTCCCGCTGGGTGTGCGGCTCCTCTGACGCCTTCGGCAGAAATCAGGGAGGGAAGGGGGCTTCGTTTCGGACCGTGTTCCGAAGCTCTTACCCGTCATGTTCAATTTGAATTGCGGAAGCACATGAGGGCAACGCGGGATTTTGTTCACGATTCAGTCAAAAACATTCTCTTTAATCTTCCTATGCACATGTATCGGAAGGGCTGCTCATTTGTTAGTAAAGCTTGTGAGGGATTACGATGTTTGCTGCTAATGAATGAGTATCGTTCAGCGCGTAACTCGTTTGCCCGCGCACGCCGACTATCTGGAAGCCTTTGTTGAGCATGGCTTGTACTCAGAACCTACTCCAAGAGAGTTATCATTCGAACCAATGATGTGCATAAAAAAATAGCTTGAGTCAGACCCGCAGTGCAAAACACCGTCCAACTCGTGCGCATTTTCGCTACCGGATAGAACCGACATATTTTGTTGATTAGGAATGAGCTCAGAACTGCCACAATCAATATCAATTGTGTAAGTGCCCGAAAGCTTCGAGGGTGGAGCCGCTCCACGCTCCCTTTCTGGGCAGACTACTTCTTCCCCGGAACCCATCCTTGATCGATCCCGTCTCGAGAAGCCTCACATCAGCTAGATCATTTTTTAGAACAACACCACATCGCCGGCCACGGAGAGTTACCGAGAGGCAAGCGAGAGTCTCGATGGAGGCGCGGTATGGAAGCTCCGGAGTAGACTGTTTCCTGGAGCGGCAGTGAGCCCCTTCGGAAAGGTTCCGAGGTCCTCGAACCCTTGGCTGCTCGGGCCTCGACGAGCTGGGTGGAATACGAATCGAGAATTCACCTCGACCAATTTAAAGGAAACAACTCCATCATGTCGATTCTAATCTAGCTTCAAGTCGACATTATCCGTCCGTCCAACCACCGTGCAACGTCCGTCGACCGACCGTCCGCTAGACGTGCACGGCACGCACGATCGCTCTGCGCAACGTGCACGCTCAGCCGGCTCCAATGGGAATGTGGCCAAGCAGCCAGCCGTCCAACCAGGCCGTCAGCAGCTCCAAGAGCCGGAGACAGTGTATGAGAACGCTCAAAATGTCCAGGTCCGTGAGGACGTTATCTGTTGCCAAAAGACCCCTGTGGCGGCTGCTGCTGCCGCAGTGAGAACGAAGGTTTTTCGATCACAAGGCTCTTGACGGCTCGCTTCGAAAACCAGAAACGAATCGTATGATGCTTCCCTGATCGTTCCCCGTACGGTGCGCCGTGATACGATCGCAGGGCGTGTACTCCGGAGACCGTTGGATGTCATGCGGCTTTGATTAAAAAATTCATTGCCGGATCGTTGTTGCGAATAATTATATTTGCAGCCCAAGCACCCTCGGCGACTTCTCGAGCATCGCATTCGGACCGGTGACCGTGCCTTTGGGAAAACGCACGCACATTCTACGCATTCAGCTACGGCAGTTCTTGTTTACACTGCATGGGAACAGCTTCTGGACGGCACCGTTTGAAGTGAGACTACAGCGGCACAACGGGTCGTTTTGATACTACTTTGTAAAATGATGGAACGATTCGCAGCCATCGCCATTCCTTTGTGCCTAACAAAAGCGGTATCGACTGATCAAGCGAGCGCTTTTCGAGTTCATAATCGAGCTGTCGGCCACTGAATCATTCAAGGCTCCGATTAGACGACATCGAGACTCGTCCTACGTCGACGCCAGGGACAAGCAGTACCAGTCGGTCGATAGCTCCGACGACAGGATTTTTTTCATAGGCTCAGCTCGAAATCACCGATTGGCTCGGAGACTTCCACGCTTGAGTGGGGAGCGTCTCCTGTCTGCACAGGGAAAAATGTCGTCAACTTGTCAAGGCCGAAAGAGGGATAGCCAAACAAAAAAGTCACTCCCTTGTCCTCTTCCCTCCGTCGTGGTGTCCCCCTCCTGAATAGAGGCGGGAGTGACGTTAGCGAGGAGCGGCAGCAGCGATGGCAACTCAAGCGAGGCAAGCGGCCTCCATGTTCTCTCGACAGCAAACATGAGGGAGAATAAATAAATAATTCAACAGAGTAATTAGATGCAGAAACGCTGCACAACCACAGCACATCTCGATAGCTTGATGCACAGAGAGCACACATCGTCATCGTTCTTTGTCACTCACATGCGCGTCGGATATCACGTCCGATAAATTACAGTGACTCTCTCAGCAGCTCGGAGAGGGGTAAGAAGTTTCGGGACTTAGCTTCTGCCGACTCAAAAACTGTCCTCAAGTAATTAGGCGAATTGAATTCTCATGGAACGTGAGTTCCCTTTCGTCATAGTTGTTGTCCCTCGCGTGGGTGCGGAGACGAATTCTGTCGACATTTCCCCAAGCTCTGCGCTGCGACAACCTGAAGTCGATCTCTCAGCCGCGGTGACTACCGCAAAAACGTTCAAACAGCTCATGTCATAGGTCGGTCTCGGAACCTCCCGCCTTGTCGCCCGGCATTTCCCTCGATGTGCGGCCCCAACCCCATGGGATGTCGCCGCGAGTCCACGGAGTCGCGTCGTGTTCATTCAACTTGAGGCAAGCAGGGATTCTACTCTCCACGAATTTCCTGGAAGTCCAACCGGGAGCGAGCCCAGTCGATGAGAGATGGCCCGAACATTCTTCGCTGCCGCGGGGGTCATACGCAAATCGGTGACGTTTCGGAGGCGTAATCGAAGGCGGAGCTCCGTAAATCAGGTGGGGCGAATTCGTCGTGCACCACACTCTCTCAGAATCGGCATCGCGGTCCACGCTCACGGACGGTATCAGAGCTGTACGCGTACTTTCCCTCCCCGAATATGCGGAGAACAACTGCTCGAATCAGCGAGAGCTCAAGAGACTCGGCTCCGTGTGAGAAAATTAAAGAAATCTATCTCTCCCCAGAGAAACTCGGGATGACATTGGAGATACTCACGGACTCTCTCGCCAGAGATGGCAGAGTGGGAGTGTCGTTGACGTGGACCACCTCCCAACGAAGACGATTTGTGGCCACGGCCCAGAGTGGCAGAAATTATACTAGCCACTAAGAGCAGTTTCAAAGTGGCCATTTCAATTGACAACTACACCATATCCATAGCGAAAGTGGCACTTTTCATAGAGAACTCGGCCAACTACTCCCTGACTATGACCGGTAGCAGTTCGTCGAAATTCCAGTCGGACTAGCATTTAGTTTGAGGGCACAACCTCGAACATTTCACAAGCTCGTCACACTCGCACAACTGGCACCGAGAAAAAGGCAAACGTGTTCCCGGCAACTTTTCCGGGAAGGGGCCACTGGAGAGAGCCCGGGGTGAGGGTCCATGCGGCTGAGGAGCGGAGGGTACGGCCAAATAAGCAGTCTGTCGGCCAAGCCGCTTGCGAAACAGACCGCGGCTTTAGGATTCGGCTAACTCATGTTCGGAACATATCAATCAGAATCCCCTTACTGAATCTCTACCTCTCGGGAAGCGAATGGGTATCTTGCACCAGAAGTGGAAGGACTCTGAGAGAGAATCGGTATCGATTCCACCAGCACACCTCGGGAAGAAGATTGAGAGCTACAACTCCGTGACGGGCTCGTGGCACGCAGGATTTCGCTCGACGTTTCGAGTGCGTGAGGCCGTGGTCCGGGTTGCACCGTTGAGGACCTTCGGCATTATTTGGAGTTCAGCGATACATCTAGAATCCGGGAGACAGATTCGAGCTCCGTTCTTTTCGGCGACCCCTCGAGACAATGAGACGTAAATGAAGCTAGCGAAACCCGACCTTCGACCTTGCAGGTTCCTCCAAAATTTTCCTTCTCAATGCTCCGAGATCAATGAGTTAGCCTAAGAAGAGAAGAAGGAAGGCGTACGTCGATTCGATTCCTTATCAGGGACGTCATCAGGAACTACTCGTTTCGAACGAACGAGGAGGAACATGCGAGTTCTCAGATTGGGCATTTGAAATGCTACATGGAGCAAGTCGGAAAACTCGGAAGCACCAATTCCATTCATTCCCTAGGGTAGACCTCGCGACGGGGAATAGGATTGCTCTGTACCTGGAAACGATCGTAACGAGCATCAAAGCTGCAGTTCCAAGATCCGAGGTGGATGTGCGAGTGCGGATAGCGCGCCGACGCTACGAGGCTCTCTACCATAATCCTAAGCTCTCGGCGGCGGCGCCCGTTATGATATTCTTTGCTTTGGATCGAGGAACGCCTGACATCGATCGTTTCACGGTAATGCGTTCAAGATAGAACCGCCGACAAGTTCTGGCGCATAATACTTGTTCCTCGAATTCGGGATTCGATCAGAGGCCGTCCTATTCGCGATCACTTCGATCCGGAGGCCCGGATCCGGAACGACACCGACTGCCGTACACGTCGGAGTCAAGATGTTACAGCCATGAAGCCGGCAGATCACAGAATATGCAACGAGACTGAAGAGACAAAAGCCCACCTTCATGTCTGTCTGTCTGCCTGGCGCTTGACGCTGAGGCCGGAGTGAATATCGCTTGGTCGACGGGCCTATCTGCAACGCTAGACTCGTGCTTTCAACCCGTATTCATATTCCTCCAGCCAAAGGCTCGGCAATCACGCGATTGCCTCCACAATGCTTTGCTCTTGCGGCCCAGAGGAGTGAACATTTACGATAAGGATGTGGCCGACAGAACGATTATCGTCGCCGCTAACTCAATGGACTTATCGGACAGGGAGTAGCCGACTCGTGTTGTTAGGCGATATCAACGCTTCCTACGTGAAGTGAATCGCCGCTCCCACCATCAATGACAATAGTCCTCCTGGACGCGATACTCATAGCTAATAGGCAATCATATTCTCTTATCGATCGATCGAACGATCGATCTATCTATCTATCTATCTATTTGCTTCTATACGCTTACGGCGTTATTCAGTTGTTGCAGGATTCACGAATGCCGCCTGCCGTAGGATTCTGTTCCTCCAACTCCGGAATGACTCGCACCGTGTGTAAGTGCTAATCTGTGGGTGTCGGCGCAGATTGTAGCAGGTTTCGAAACTCCGATGAGTTGCTCGTCGGAGATTTGTTCAGGATCTTTCGCTCTATCGAGCGCTCCACCGACGGATTTCTTTCGCGACTCATTTGA